TATCTGGTGCTAGAATCGAGATAATGAGACTCAGAAGGGATCTTCCAAGTCTTAGAAAACATTTTTTTTTTTTTTTTTTTTTTTGGCCAGGGCTGGGTTTGAACCCGCTACCTCTGGTATATGGGGCCGGTGTCCTACTCCTTTGAGCCACAGTCTTAGAAACCATTTTTTAGCTGTGGTGGGATGTGCCTAATAAATTGATTTGCGGGTTTGCTGGAGGCAAAAATGAGAAATTTACAGCCAAACAAGTTTCTTTTGAATTCCTATAAAGGAAAACAGGTAACCAGAATTTGTTACCAAATTTCTTTCTCTCTTTCCTTTGTAGGTATTCTCCTGAGTGGAGATTATCGTGCTGATTATGTCCCTTCTATACCCTCGCCTGTGCCCCCCTCAACTCCTCTGCTCTCCTCTCACGCCAAGACGGGCAGCCGAGACTGCAGCACCCAAACTGAACGTGGAACGGAACCGAATAAAGCTGCAGCTGTCGCTCCCATCTCTGTTCCTACTCCAGTTGCTGCTGCCGCCACTGCTGCCGCCATCACTGCCACTGCTGCCACCAATACTGCCACCGCTGCCACCAACACCACCACCATGGTAGCTGCTGCTCCAGTTGCTGTTGCTGCTCCGGCTGCTGCCGCTGCTGCTGCTGCTACGGCTGCAGCCGCTGCTGCCCCATCGCCAGCAACTGCCGCTATTGCTGCTGCTGTTTCTCCAGCTGCTGCTGCTCCTTTTCCAGCTGCTGCCTCTGCTGCCGCTCCTGCTCCTGCTGCTGCCGTTCAGGTTGCTCCAGCTGCTCCGGCTCCGGTTCCAGCTCCAGCTCCGGTTCCGGTTCCGGCTCCAGCAGCAGCTCAGGCTTCTGCTCCGGCTCCAGCTCAGGCATCGACTCCAGCTCCGGCTGCGGCTCCTACTCCGGCTCCACCTCCAACTCCAGTTTTGGCTCAGGCTGAGGCTCCTGCAAGTCCAGCTACCGGTCCTGGACCACGTCGTTTGTCTACACCAAGTCTGACCTGCAATCCGGACAAGACAGGTAATAATTCTCTGTAGCAGGTAGATTCTGCTTCTGCCTTCGAATGCGAACTTACTTCCTGGCGTCTGTTTGGGCAGAGTTGTCATTTGGACTGAGTTTTTCATGTTCTAAAGGGGAGAGAAGTGAGGAGAGTCTCTAAATGACCGCTCATCCCCCCCCGACCCCCCCAGATGGGAATGGGCATGTGTTTCTTTGGGCTTTTCTCCCAGCAGAAGTAAATGAAGGGAGTGAAAGGCAAGTTCAATTTTGCCATTGGCTTCACTGAGAGCTCCAACTGTCTAGTTCTAGAAATTTGAGTTTTTACCTTGTCTCTCAGTGTTTTCTAACCACTTATTTCCATTTAGACGGCCCTATTTTCCACTCCGGTACCCTGGAAAGAAAAGCACCCATTCAGATCCTGGGACAAGAGCCTGACGCAGAGATGGTGGAATATCTCATCTAAATGGCCAAATCAAGAGCTGCAGTGTATCAGCAAGAATGCTTTTAATCATTTTCCCCTTTTGTTTCTTCTGTTGAGGGTGAGGATGAGGGTTGGGGGGAGGGGATGTTTTTCTTAAAGGGACTTTCTATTGGAACGATAGACTGCTTAAGTAATACCATAAACTCCAGTCTATTCTGGTATACTTAGGGAGTGCCTGTAAAGACGGATTCATCAGAATGTGCTCTAGAGTATATTGTTTGGGTTTCTGCAAAGACTGGGACTGTTAACAGGTGGTTATACATGGACGTCTTTCGGTGTGCTTCAATTTGTTTAAAATTTCCATATTCCAGATCATTTCTTTTGATGGAAGAGCACAGTATGTGTGGAAGACAGTGTGCAACATGTAGTTTGGAAGTGGGAAGCTGGAGAGAATTTTGAGCGTGTGCTATTTTGTATAATTACTATCCAGACAGCAGGCAGCGAAAGGTCTCGCCTCAGGCTCACAAAAGGGAATAGTTTTAGGAACTCTGCAAGCTGGAGCAATGGTAGGGAGTTGTGGGGTGCAGGAAGGTGGCTGGAGCGAACTTTTCCTCCCAGTTTCCCAGCTACCTTGCCCCAGGGGACTGTGTGTGTCTTCATTTCAGTGGTGCTTTGGAAGTGGATTCTTTTAGTTCCTTCCTGGAGGTTCATTCATATATATGCTCTGGAGTAATTTATGCATTGGGATAATTAATATATTGCTTTCAGTGGCTAGGAGAGTATTAAATGAATGATGCACAGCTTCTTCTCTCTTAGGGAGTTAGTCCATCAGAGAGGCCTTGACGGAGAATTGCATGAGGTGCTGTACGCAGATTTTTGTAGCCTGCATGTAGCCGTGAACACAGCTCACTTGCCCTTTCTAAGACCAGTTGGCTTCGTGCTTATTTTGCCTACAGTACAGATTCACTGGCTGGGTCACCGGTCTCAAGTTGCCAGTCATTTGCAAAATGAGAACCCATCTTTGTTGACAGGTTGAGTGCTTTGAATTTCTGGTGACTACCTTGAAATAACTCGTTTGGTTTTCCCATATTCTTAGCATATGTCTTAAAGGGCATTTTTGATCATCACCTCCAAGGGACTAGCATCGGAAGCCCAAAGTGTACTGTGCTGCGGTCAGGGTTGAGGGAGAGGCTGATTGCAGCAGTATCCTCAACTACCTCTTCTCACTGCCAGTGTCTCCATCTTGGAATACCTTTGGGAAGCAGCAGGAAATATGCATGTAGGTGGGGACCAAAGGAGACAATGATTCCAAGCCTTACCATTGGGCTTTCTCCATGGACACAGAGAGATGCCAGTTGTCACAGGTCCCTGCTCTGTGTCACCTCTCTGCCCTTCACTAAGGTGACAAATCTAGAGATAGCATCATTAAGATAAATTTTCAAGGGTAAAGGGAGGGTGAGGGGAGTGGGGTGGTGTTAGGTAAGGGTTGGGGGGGTCGAAGCTTGGGGCTGTATTAGTTAGAAACCAGATTAATAGAAGAGTAGGCCTGATATATTATATCTTGAGCCATAGTGACAGGAAGGGACTTAACAGTATAGCCCTCCCCCCTCATTTTAGTGTTGAAGAATCTGAGACTTGGAGAGAGGTTCAGTGACTTTTTTAAGGACACACAGCATAGCTGTCCACTCTGCCAATGACCATACATCTTTTGGGAAACTCTTATTTTTAGAAAAGCCCATTTTATGAAAAGGCACTTTTGTGGTCCAGGGCACGTGTATTTTGTAAAATGTCCCTGCCTTGAGTAGTTTGTCCAGGGTTCTGAACCACTGTCTTGCCTCTCCTGCAGTGCCTTGTGCAAGGTTTTCCCTTGTCTGCATTTCAACATTGAGTCGTATTAAACGTCCCCCTCGTAAATTGACACCACTTCTTTTCTCACGATGCGTGTGTGTCTCGGATCATCTCATGAGGTTCTTCTGTGAGTATAGGAGTGGTGTCTTTCCTAGTTCTCTTCTTCCAAAGGAATTAATTTGTGTGTGTGTGTGTGTGTGTGTGTGTGTGTGTGTGTGTTTGGGGTGGGAGGGAAGACAAGACAGAGGGTGAGATAATTTTTAGCCAGTCTTTTCACATTTGCAATAATGACATGATCATCCCACGTACACTTTTAGTCCTCAGTTATAAAGTTGATCCCAATAGAAATTAAAAGTGTAGTTGTGTTATAACTCATTCAATATGACCCTTTAGTCATAAGGAGAAAGGGAAAAAAAAAAACACTCAAGTAGTAGAAGCAGCACGTGGCAAACTTCAGAAGAGCCTCTTCCTATCAGCTAAATAAGGAACGATAAAAACAAACTTTTCATCTGCTCCTTTCATGGTTATAACTCATTGCCAGAATGTTTGCCAGCTTTGGGAGCCATGATTTCAATCACATTCTGTAAGGTGACAAATGTCATACATTCCACATTGTGTGGCAGCCATGTCTTGAGACCCTGTGTTTTGGAAAAAGGAGGAAGTTTTTGCCTAAGTACTACTTCAAACTTTCTAGAACATCTGTGTCCTCTCATACCAGAACCAGGTAATTTGCAAAAATAACATTGCACGTCTAAGAGAGGAAGGAAGACTCACATCGGTGGAGTAGAATGGTGCAGCCTTTTCAGAAAATCTCTACTAGTTTTCATTTTAAAAATTCAGCTGTATGGGAGAAATCGCTAGTTGGCCACCTTTTTTTCACTTGTGTAGATGTAATATTTGGGGATCTTTCTGGACTCCTACCTATCTATCTATGCATTTCACTGGCACCTCAGGACAAGAAGGTGACTTCGTTGTCTTAAACTTGTATTGCTTGGTGGTCTCTGAGGACCTTCTAATTCATCTGTACCTCGGTGTCCCATGTAAAGAAAAACTTCGTTAGAACAAACTTTACTTGATATAAAATTCCTATTAATGATTTTTTTTAAAATAAAGGTAGTTGAGCTTTCTTTTAAAATTATGTACCTTGATTGTTGATTTAATGAAGGATTGACTTTCAATGCTGCTTTTGAGCTTCAGGGTGACAGGATAGCAGGAACCTGAACTATCTGCCATCTTCTGCCATAGGAGACATACCGGGAGACCCATCATGTTCCCTTTTTGTTGTTACCGTGCGGGTGGGTATAAAGATTGGAAAATAAACAAACTGATTGTGCAAACTACTTTGTATGAAAAGCCTAAACACTCAGAATGTGGCAGCTTACAATATATACATATGCAGTAACTGTGATAAATGATATTCTCCTGTCTGTTAGCCATATTGTTATCCCAATTACTCATTCACATATGGAAAATGTTACTTAAAATATGTGCATTCTTACTGAAAATGTTTTGCAAGGCAGGCATCAGCTGTGGGCTGATGGCCACCCATTTCAGCCGGCCACAATCCTTGGAAATATATCATCCAAGTGCCATCCATCATCAGTAGGACAAGTGTCGGGAGTTTGTTTATTTTTTTCCGGTAGCAACGATGGGTTACATGTAGCCATCAAAACCTCCTCCTGGCCTCCCTTGTGATTCACGGCATGTGTTTGTAAAATGGATAGCTTGGCGTTGGCAGATGGCTAGAGAAGAATCGCCTTTGGTTTAAAATGTATGTGGTGCCATAATGATTGTGACCCCCCTTCTGTAATCGACTGAGCTAGTTCCAATAAAATTAAGCAGGTTTAAATCCACTTTGTGCCTATCTTTTCACTGAAAATAAAGTTAGCTATTTTAAAATGCAGCACCGTGTGGAAAATGCTTTGGTGTTTACCCGACAGAGGCTTTATTTGTGCTGTATCAGTGATTACTTTCAATTCAGTATGCAGTGAAATTGCCTTTCAAGGAGAGCATGAGCAGAATTTGCATTTGCTTGAAGTATGGAATGTGATTATAGATTATAAAGTATTAAGACAACACCACAGGCCACATGCTCTAATCGGTCTCTTTATATACTCAGGCAGCATATATTAAAAGCTTTGCATCTTTTTATCTCCTGCTTCCAAGGGATAAAATGATGGCCACCCAAAGCAAAGAATTCATCCTTTGGTTAGCATTTTGGAAGGCCCCTGGATATTCCTTTTATACCCTTGTTCTTATGCCAATTCATCAGTTTTGGTTGAGGGAGCTTGTTATTAAAAGCAAATCAAAGCCACAAACGAGTTGGCTCTTCACTGAAAATGTTAAAGCCGCCTTTACACTGCCCTTTTGGTGCCTCCTGTTTACCAGTGAGTTCCAAACCTAACTGGTGAGGAAAAGGATCCCCGAGGACTTTGAGACGACATGTTTTAGAGTGAAATAGACTTGATGGATGTAGCACACAAGATGGGGCCCGGGTTGTAGAATTCATCCTGCTATAAATTTGATTTCTTCTTCCCTTGGGGTTTAGTCCCTCCACTTTGATGATGAATGCTTTGAAAACTGTAGGGATGAGGGCCCTCCCCTCTTTTTCAAGACAAAGTCGATGGTAGTCAGTTAACCACACTTTACAAAGCTTTGCACAACAGTCTTTTCAGAAATACATATACTGTGCCTCGTTCTCCCCGAGTAGTAACTTGTGGGAAGAAAAACCAAGTGGTCCTTCAAAAGTGTGCAAAACCACATCGTAGTAGCCCTTACGGGTATTAACATGATCCAGCATTACACTGACCCGGTGTGTCTGTGCTACTTCATCTTCCTTCTGGCAGATCTTTTCTACTGAGATAATCGATCTGTACACTCTGTATGAGTTAACTAGGTTGCAGGAAAAAAACACCTCTGCTTCCCACCTCTATCTCCATTTTATCATGTGGGACTGTTTCTCCTGGATGAAAAAATGGAAATGGTTTAGTCTTAGAATGCTTTCTACATAGCCTGGCAGTCACACTGGTATTGGAGAGAAGAGTCCTGGGTGATAGGACTTAGCATCTAAGAAGAAAAGTGCTCTCCACAACACCAGAATCTCATGCCCTGTCGTAAGTATCCCCTACTTAGATGCACAAACTGTCCAAACCCAGCAATTTATTTGGGTCCTCACGTTTTTTTCATTGGCTGGTTGCCTCTGCCGATGGATTCAGGCATATATGAGTTATCAAGTCACTACT